GGGCAATATGGCGGCTGGGAGGGGGTGGGGTCACAAACAGGGCAATATGGCGGCTGGGAGGGGGTGGGGTCACACACAGGGCAATATGGCTGCCAGAAGGGGGTGGGGAGTGGCCAAGATGGCCACCAAAAAGGGGGGTGGGGTCACACACAGGGCAATCTGGCTGCCGAGGGGTTGTGGGGGGTGGCCAAGGAAGCAATATGGCCGCCCGGGAGGGGGGGGATCAACACCAGGGCAATATGGCAGCCGGGAGGGGGGGGGGGCGGGGTGATACAACCAGGGGCACTTATGGGCTGCCGGGCGGGGGGCGGGGTCACAACCAGGGCAATATGGCCGCCGGGACGGGGTGGAGTCACACACGGAGCAATATGGCCACCGTGGGGTCGGGGGAGTGGACAAGATGGCCGCCGGGAGGGGGCGGGGTCATACAAAGGGTAATATGGCAGCTGGGAGGGGGTGGGGTCACACACACAGGGCAATATGGCCGCCGTGGGGTTGGGGGGGTGGCCAAGGAAGCAATATGGCCGCCGGGAGGGGGGTGGGATCACAACCAGGGCAATATGGCCGCTGGGAGGGGGGTGGAGTCACACACAGGGCAATATGGCCGCTGGGAGGGGGTGGGGTCACAGGGCAATCTTGCTGCCCAGACGGGGTTGGGGGCCCGGGGGAGGCCAAGATGGCCGCCGGGAGGGGGGCGGGGTCACACACGGGGCAATATGGTGGCTGGGAGGGGGGCGGGGTCACAGGGCAATATGGCTGCCAAGGGGTTGGGGGAGTGGCCAAGATGGCCGCTGAGAGGGGGTGGGGTCACACACAGGCCAATATGGCCGCCATGACCTCCGAGGGTTGTCATGGTAACCCACAGGGGCAATATGGCCGCCGAGGGGTCGGGGGCGTGGACAAGATGGCCGCCGGGAGGGGGCGGGGTCATACAGAGGGCAATATGGCTGCCATGACCTCAGAGGGTTGTCATGGTAACTCACAGGGGCAATATGGCCGCCTGGGAAACATGCCCCCCCCCTTTTGTGAGGCCACTCCCCCTTTATAAGACCACACCCCCTTTCTGCTAGGCCACACCCCCTTTCTACTAGGCCACACCCCCTTTCTGCTAGGCCACGCCCCCTTTCCGAAGCCACACTGCTTTCTATGAGGCCACACCCCTTCCTATGACACCCCCCCTCCCTCTCAGAAAGCCCCACCCCCTCCACCACACCCACTTTAGGCCACACCCACTCGAGGCCACACCCCCTTTTAAGCCACACCCCCTCTAGGCCTCCACATTGCCCTAAATCCCCTTTCCAACCCCTCCCCCCTCCCCAAAACCCTCCCAATCCCCCCCAAACCCCTCCAACCCTTCCCCCTCCGCCCTCATTAACTGCTAATTACCCCCCATGGCTAATTAATCAACCCCTAATTAACTTAATTAACGACCTGCTTGATGGTGGCCAGGCAGTGCTGGAGGTGCCTCATCTGCTCCTCACTGTGTCCCCTCCCCGTTTTCCCTCCTTAACCACTAATTAACCCCTAATCACCCTCTAATTACCCTGAATCACCCCTTAATTACCCCTAATTAGCCTAATTAACGACCTGTTTGATGGCGGCCCTGGAGGTGCTTGATCTGTGTCGCGCCTCCACCCCCCCCCCCATTTTCCCTCCTCAACCACTAATTACTCCTAATTACCCACTAATTAACAACTGAGACTAATTAACCCATAATTAACCTCTAATCACCCCTAATTACTCCTAATTAACTAATTAAAGACCAGTTTGATGGCTGTCTCAATCTGCTCCTCCCTGTGCCGGCGCCTCCACCCCCTCCCCATTTCCCCTCCTTAACCACTAATTACCCCTGATTACCCACTAATCAACAACTGAGACCAACTAATTAAACCATAATTAACCTGTAATCACCCCTAATCGCCCCTAATTAACCAATTAACGACCTGTCTGGTGGTAGCCCTGGATGCGCTTGTGCCGGCGCCTCCGTCCCCTCCATGTTTCCCCTCCTTAACCCCTAATTTCTCCTAATTACCCACTAATTAACAACTGAGACAAACTAATGAACCCATAATTAACCACTAATCACTCCTAATTACCCCTAATTAACTAATTAAAGACCTGTTGATTGATGGCCCTGGAGGTGTAGGCGCCTCCGCCCCCTCCCCATTTTCCCTCCTTAACCACTAATTAACCCCTAATTAACGACTAATTATCCCTAATTAACCCCCGAGTCCAACTAATTAACCCCTAATCACCCCTAATTAACTAATTAACGACTTGTTTGATCTGCTCCTTGCTGTGCCCGCACCTCTGTCCCCCCCCCATTTTCCCTCCCTAACCCCTAATTACCCCCTAATCACCCCTAATTACCCCGAATCACCCCTAATTACTCCTAATTACCCTAATTAACGACCTGTTTGGTGGCGGCCAGGCAGCGCTGGAGGTGCTCGATCTGCTCCGGTGCCTCCACCCCCTCCCCATTTCCCCTCCTTAACCCCTAATTACCCCTAATTACCCACTAACTAACAACCCAGACTTCCTAACCAGCCCCTAATTAGCCTAATTAACTAATTAAGACCTGTTTGGTGGCGGCCAGGTGGCGCTGGAGGTGCTCGATCTGCTCCTCGCTGTGCCAGCGCCTCCACCCCCTCCCCATTTCCCCTCCTTAGCCCCTAATTAACCCCTAATTACCCACTAACTAACAACCCAGACTCCCTAACCCCCCCCTAATTAGCCTAATTAACTAATTAGACCTGTTTGGTGGCGGCCAGGCGGCGCTGGAGGTGCTCGATCTGCTCCTCGCTGTGCCAGCGCCTCCACCCCCTCCCCATTTCCCCTCCTTAACCACTAATTAACCCCTAATTAACTACTAATTATCCCTAATTAACCCCCGAGTCCAACTAATTAACCCCTAATCACCCCTAATTAACTAATTAACGACTTGTTTGATCTGCTCCTTGCTGTGCCCGCACCTCTGTCCCCCCCCATTTTCCCTCCCTAACTCCTAATTAACCCCTAATTACCCCCCAATCACCCCTAATTACCCCGAATCACCCCTAATTACCCCTAATTACCCTAATTAACGACCTGTTTGATGGCAGCCAGGTGGCCTTGGAGGTGCTCCATCTGCTCCGGCGCCTCCACCCCCTCCCCATTTCCCCTCCTTAACCCCTAATTAACCCCCCTGGTTAACTACCCCCCCCCTAATTAGCCTAATTAAGTAATTAGGACCTGTTTGGTGGCGGCCAGGCGGCGCTGGAGGTGCTCGATCTGCTCCTCGCTGTGCCGCAGCCGCCGCAGCGCCTCCTCGTCCGCCAGCTTCTTGCTCTCCCGCCGCTCCCGCTCCTCCAGCTCCCGCCAGCGCCCCCGCAGCTCCTCCAGCTGGAGATTAATTAACGCTAATTAGTGGTAATTAGGGATAATTAGGGGGTAAGAGCGGTAATTTGTGGGTAATAAGTGGTTATTGTTGAATAAGGGGAGGCAGGAGGTTCTTGCTCTCCCGCTCCTCCAGCTCCCGCCAGCGCCCCCGCAGCTCCTCCAGCTGGGGGGTAATTAACGATAATTAGTGGTAATTAGGGATAATTAGGGGGTAAGAGTGGTAATTTGTGGGTAATAATTGGTTATTGTTGAATAAGGGGAGGCAGGAGGTTCTTGCTCTCCCGCTCCTCCAGCTCCCGCCAGCGACCCCACAGCTCCTCCAGCTGGGCAGTAATTAACGATAATTAGTGCTAATTATCATTAATTACTGTTAACGAGTGGTAATTAGTGGGTAATAATTGGTTGTTGTTGATTAAGGGGAGGCAGGAGGTTCTTGCTCTCCCGCTCCTCCAGCTCCCGCCAGCGCCCCCGCAGCTCCTCCAGCTGGGGGGTAATTAACGCTAATTAGTGATAATTATCATTAATTACTGTTAACGAGTGGTAATTTGTGGGTAATAATTGGTTACTGTTAATTAAGGGGAGGCAGGAGGTTCTTGCTCTCCCGCTGCTCCAGCTCCCGCCAGCGCCCCCGCAGCTCCTCCAACTAGGGGGTAATTAGCGCTAATTAGTGGTAATTAGGGGGTAAAAGTGGTAATTTGTGGGTAATAATTGGTTGTTGTTGAATAAGGGGAGGCAGGAGGTTCTTGCTCTCCCGCTGCTCCCGCTCCTCCAGCTTCCCTGAAACTGGAAGTAATCAGTGTTAATTAGCGTTAATTAGTGTTAATTAGTGGTAATTAGTGTCAATTAGGTGGTAATAGTGCTCTTCCTGCTCAGTAATTGGTTATTGTTAATTAAAGGGAGGCAGGAGGTTCTTGCTCTCCCGCTCCTCCAGCTCCCGCCAGCGCCCCCGCAGCTCCTCCAGCTGGGCAGTAATCAACACTAATTAGTGGTAATTATCATTAATTACTGTTAACGAGTGGTAATTTGTGGGTAATAATTGGTTATTGTTAATTAAGGGGAGGCAGGAGGTTCTTGCTCTCCCGCTCCTCCAGCTCCCGCCAGCGCCCCCGCAGCTCCTCCAGCTGGGGGGTAATTAATGATAATTAGTGGTAATTAGTCTTAATTGGTGATAATTAAGGGATAAGAGTGGTAATTTGTGGGTAATAATTGGTTATTGTTAATTAAGGGGAGGCAGGAGGTTCTTGCTCTCCCGCTCCTCCAGCTCCCGCCAGCGCCCCCGCAGCTCCTCCAGCTGGGGGGTAATTAACGATAATTAGTGGTAATTAGTGCTGATTAGGGACTAAGAGTGGTAATTTGTGGGTAATAATTGGTTGTTGTTAATTAAGGGGAGGCAGGAGGTTCTTGCTCTCCCGCTCCTCCAGCTCCCGCCAGCGCCCCCGCAGCTCCTCCAGCTGGGCAGTAATTAACGATAATTAGTGCTAATTAGTGCTGATTAGGGACTAAGAGTCATAATTAGTGGGTAATAATTGGTTATTGTTAATTAAGGGGAGGCAGGAGGTTCTTGCTCTCCCGCTGTTCCAGCTCCCGCCAGCGCCCCCGCAGCTCCTCCAGCTGGGCAGTAATTAACGATAATTAGTGGTAATTAGGGATAATTAGTGATAATTAGGGGGTAAGAGTGGTTGGTGTTAATTAAAGGGAGGCAGGAGGTTCTTGCTCTCGTGCCGCTCCCACTCCTCCAGCTCCCCCAAAACTCCTCCGTTGGGTCATTAATTAGTTTTAATTAGTGTTAATTGGTGTTAATTAGGGGGTAAGAGCGGTAATTAGTGGGTAATAATTGGTTACTGTTGATTAAGGGGAGGCAGGAGGTTCTTGCTCTCCCGCTGCTCCAGCTCCTCCAGCTGGGCGGTAATTAGCGCTAATTAGTGTTAATTAAGGTGTCATTAGCAATCCTCTCCTCAATATCTTCATTAGGGGAGGCACCAACACTCCTCCAGCTCCCCCCCATCTCCTACAGGGGGGTAACCAGTTAATTAGCTAGTGCAATTAGGAGATCATTAGTGCTCCTCCAGCGAGGCAATTAGTTAATTACTGTTAATTAGGAAGATAATTAGCGCTCCTCTATTCAGATACGCGTTTGTTCCTTCATTAGCGTTAATTAGGGACGACATCAGTGCTCGTCCAGCTCGGTGTTAATTAGTTAATTAGTGCTAATTATGGGGTCATTAGTGCTCCCTCAGCTGGGTAATTAATTAGTTAGTTAGTGTTAATTACGGGGTCATTAGTGTTCCTCCACGTGGGTAATTTGTTCCTTCATTAGCATTAATTATGAGGGACTATCAGCGCTTCTCCAACAACACTGCAGCTAATTAGTTAATGAGTATTAATTAGGGGGTTGATAGTGCTTCTTCAGCTGCCTAATTAGTTAATTAATAAGTGTTAAATAGAAGAATCATCAGTGCTGGGTGTTGGTCCCTTCATTAGTGTTAATTAGGAGGGTCACCAGCAGCTCCTCTAGTGGATAATTATTACTTAATCAGTCCTAATTAGGGGGTCATTAGTGCTCCTCCAGCTGGATAATTAGTGAATTAGTGTTAATTAGGGGGTATTAGTGCTCTGCCCCTCAGCTGGGCGGTTGTTGGTTCATTAGCATTAATTAGGGGGGAATTAGTGTTAATTAGAACCCTCGTTAGGGCTCCTCTATTCAGACACGTGTTGGTTCCTTCATTAGCGTTAATTAGGGGGGACATGAGCCCTCCTCCAGTTCCCACCAGCTGGGCAATTAGGTAATTAATTAGTGCTAATTAAGAGTCATTACGGCTCCTCCAGCTAGATAATTACAATAATTATTATAATAATTAAATAAATATATGAATAAAATAAAAATATACAAATTATATAAACATATAATAAATTTAATTAGTTATTAATAACCTACTTGTTAATCAATTGATAATGATAATTAGCATTATTATTAGTAACCATAATAGTTATATGAATATATTCTATAATAGAAATATAATAATAAACATACAATTATTATTTTTTCAATTATTATTATAATTACTATTAATTACCCTTAATTACCCCCCACCATCACCTCGACCCCACCAATTACCACAATTAACTAACGAAACCCCGCAGGACTGGGCAGGGAAGGACCAGGGAGGAGCTAAAAATCACCTCACTATTAATCAACAACCATTTAATTACTTAATTATCTAAACATCACTAATTAAATTATCAAACACCATTAATTAAACAACATTAAACACTACTAAAAATTACGAATTCATCATTATTATCATCACAAATAACAAATGAACTAGTGCAGGAAGGCGGGGCCCTTTGTATTTGAGTCCCGGCTCATTTGCATCTCATTTGCATCTCATTTGCATACGATTTGCATCTCATTACCTCGGCCTTGCTCTTCCTCTCGGCGGCCATGAGCTGCACCTTGTCCCGCTGCTCCTTGGGCGCCGACTTGTACATGTCCAGCAGCAGCTTCATCTCCTTCTGGCTCTCCTGCGCCTTCCTGGCACGCCCACCCCGCCCCTCATTACCATCTCATTTGCATGGGGAAGCCACGCCCCCCGGAACCGACTCGCCTCGAAATTGAGAGCTAAAACCCACCCAAACCCACCCAAACTGACCCAAAGGCACCCCCAGACCTTCGATATCTCATTCAGACACCCTAATTAGTCCTTAATTTGAACGACAACCACCTAATTAGCATCTCATTTGCATGGGGAAGCCACGCCCCCCGGAACCGACTCGCCTCGAAATTCAGACCTAAAACCCACCCAAACTGACCCAAAGCCACCCCCAGACCTTCGATATATCACTCAGGTCTCCTAATTAGTCCCTGATTAGAATAATAACCTGCTCATTACCATCTCATTTGCATAAGGAAGCCACGCCCCCTGTGCTGCTTTGCCCTTAAATTCTGACATAAAACCCACACCAAACCCACCCAAACTGACCCAAAGGCACCCCCAGACCTTCGATATCTCATTCAGACACCCTAATTAGTCCTTAATTTGAACAACAACCACCTAATTAGCATCTCATTTGCATGGGGAAGCCACGCCCCCCGGAACCGACTCGCCTCGAAATTCAGACCTAAAACCCACCCAAACCCACCCAAACTGACCCAAACCCACCCCCAGACCTTCAATATCTCACTCAGGCCTCCTAATTAGTCCCTGAATAGAATAATAACCCGCTCATTAGCATCTCATTTGCATGGGGAAGCCACGCCCCCCGGAACCGACTCGCCTCGAAATTCAGACCTAAAACCCACCCAAACTGACCCAAAGCCACCCCCAGACCTTCGATATATCACTCAAACCCCTTAATTAGTACTTATTTTGCATAATAACCGGCTAATTAGCATCTCATTTGCATGGGGAAGCCACGCCCCCCTGAACCGACTCGCCTCGAAATTCAGACCTAAAACCCACCCAAACCCACCCAAACTGACCCAAACCCACCCCCAGACCTTTGATATCTCACTCAGACCCCTAATTAGTGTTTAATTTGCATAATAACAAGCTAATTAGAATCTCATTTGCATGGGGAAGCCACGCCCCTCGGAACCGACTCGCCTCGAAATTCAGACCTAAAACCCACCCAAACCCACCCAAACTGACCCAAATCCGCCCCCAGACCTTCGATATCTCACTCAGGCCTCCTAATTAGTCCCTGATTAGAATAATAACCTGCTCATTACCATCTCATTTGCATGGGGAAGCCACGCCCCCCGGCACCGACTCGCCTCGAAATTCAGACCTAAAACACACTTGAGATGCCCCAAAACTGACCCAAATCCACCCCCAGACCTTCGATATCTCACTCAGACACCCTAATTAGTCCTTAATTTGAACAACAACCACCTAATTACCATCTCATTTGCATGGGGAAGCCACGCCCCCCGGCACCGACTCGCCTCGAAATTCAGACCTAAAACCCACCCAAACCCACCCAAACTGACCCAAAGGCACCCCCAGACCTTCGATATCTCACTCAGACCCTTTAATTAGTACTTATTTTGCATAATAACCGGCTAATTAGCATCTCATTTGCATGACGAAACCACGTCCCCCGGAACCGATTCACCTCAAAATTGAGACCTAAAACCCACCCAAGACCCCCCAAAACGTCCCCAAATCCACCCCCAGACCTTTAATCCCTCCCTCAGACCCCCTAATTAGTCCTTAATTTGAACAACAACCACCTAATTAGCATCTCATTTGCAAAAAGAAACCACACCCCCGGCACCGATTCGTCTCAAAATTGAGACCTAAAACCCACCCAAGACCCCCCAAAACGTCCCCAAATCCGCCCCCACACCTTTAATCCCTCCCTCAGACCCCCTAATTAGTCCTTAATTTGAATGACAATCACCTAATTAGCATCTCATTTGCATAAAGAAACCACGCCCCCGGCACTGATTCTCCTCAAAACGGAGACCTAAAACCCACCCGAGCCCCCCCAAAACGTCCCCAAATCCGCCCCCACACCTTTGACAACCCCCTCAGACCCCCTCATTTGCATAACACCCCCTCATTAACATCTCATTTGCATAAAGAAACCACACCCCCTGCACCAATTCACCTCAAAACTGAGACCGAAAACCCACCCGAGACCCCCCAAAACTGACCCAACCCGACCCCCCCACCTTTAACCCCTCCCCCCGACCCCCTCATTTGCATAACACCCCCCTCATTAACATCTCATTTACATAAACCCCCCTCAACACCCCCCAAACCCCCCTTTCCTCCCCCAAAAAAACCCCCCCCGCCCTCCCTACTAACCCCTCCCCCCCCGACCCTCATTTGCATCCCATTTGCATGCGGGCCCCGCCCACTCACTTGAGCTCCGCCCTCAGCTGCTTCAGCACCTCCGAGTCCTTCTTTTTGGGCTCCTCGGGGGGGCCCTTGGGCCGCTCC